TATCATGATCTTGTGAAAAGTGGCAAAGCTACACAGGATCACTAAGATGGGGGCAGAGAGGCACCTGCAAAGGGCACCTTTGTAAGGCGCCAGCTGAAGAGAGAGGTGTGGGAAGGACTAGGGAAATCCACTCATTTCTTTTATCTTCCATTCTGCAAAGTTGCATTTTTCTGTGATTTTTTTTTCCCTCTGCAAAACTGGCTGAGCTAGAGCAGAGTTGTGAGCAGAAACCTGCATGTCCTCTAAATTCTCGGTCCCATCCAAGGCAACCCTGGCTGCACCTCAGGGGAGGGGTCTCATTAGATTGTAAATAAGAAGAGCACAGTGAATACTCTCCCCAAGGGGTTTAGGCATTTAAGGCTTCAACAGATTACCCAGCCCGCCCACCCCCATGCCTAGCCGTCTCCCCTGCTTTCCTCCCTCCTGTCCAGAGGGGGCACTCTTTCTGTCCCTTTCAGGGCAGCCATCCTCTGCCTGGACCCAAAGGAGGATGTCCTGGAGTTCCTCTTCATCCACACCCCTGCCAGGTGTCCCACCTGGCCCCACGCCCGTATCTCACTCCCACAGCCAGTCCACGCTGGCATCCTAAGGCTCCTTACCGCCCCATTTTCCACCCAGCCCTGACCCCCGGGGCCAGCTCCTCCTTCCCGGGGAGGGCGATGCACTTTAATCGCTTCCCTCTGTCCAGCCCGACCCGTCGGACCCCGCTTCTCGGCTGCGGTGACGAGGTCTCACAGACACACTTCGGCGGAACCTGCCATGGCTCCTGTACTTCTAGGACAGCGGTTCTCAACCTTCCTGATGCCGCGACCCTTTAATACACTTCCTCCTGTGTGGGGACCTCCAATTACATTGTTACAAATTGAACATAATGAAAGCATAGTGATTAATCACAAAAACAATATGTAATTATATATGTGTTTTCTGATGGTCTTAGGTGACCCCTGTGAAAGGGTCCTTCAACCCCCGAAGGGGTCGCAACCCACAGATTGAGAACTGCTCCGACTAAGTCCAAGTGCACATGTTCCTCTGTGATCACTGACACGCAAGCTTTACTAGTGGACAGGGCACAACAGATGAGGCTCCACAGAACCTTTCAGAAACAAACTGCTCAGAGGAAAGGAGTGACTGAGTTCGGGAGCCAGGAGTTCAGCCACTGCACCTCCCACTCAGTTCAGGCTCAGTTTTTGTATTTTTTTTTCTTCTAAATGCCAACCCCTACCCCACCCCGGCACTGTGACACCGAAAATTGCCAGGATACCCTTCAAGTTTGAGATTTTAGGAATACGAGTCAATGATGGTCTTGTTCTGATTTCCTATTATCATAAAAGAGGTCAAAGTCACAGAACTTCTCTGATCCGTGTTTTCTCCACTTGAAAGGGCCCGTGCTGCCTGCCAGGGTATCAGGGTAGAGAGGTGGGGAGAAGAGTAACACACCCTGAGGTGTTCAGGAGAGAGGCGCTCAAGAACACGCTGAAAACGCTCCTGACATGGGTTTTGGATGGATGTGAATTAGTGAAAGTTGTAAAATAATCCTCTTTAATACAGTTAGTACGAAAGAGTTAATTTTTGTCCCCAAGGCCGGGTTTAGAAAGGGGTTCCATTGTATGAGGCATGCTAATCCAACCTCTTAATCCAAAAATGAGTCTAGCAAAATTAAAACCAGAACACAAAACTTTCCATTACAAATCACCTTCCACCAAGGTTAAGGTCAGATCATTTAGTGGCTCAACTAGGCTAATGAGACCAAATAAAATGCAAAGTGAACAGGAGCTCATTTACCTGAGCACTTGTGGCTTCAGCAACTTTGGGTCTTTAGCAGAGGCCAGTCTGCGCTGTTTCCCTGCCTGGGTTTAGTAAACCTGGGAGAGCGCTGGGGCCTGGAGGGACCCCTCAGGGGATACGAGCATTTATACCATTTCTATGGGGAGAAAGAATCCACGGCGCAACCAGGAGGGGGAGCTGTGGACCAGAGACCAGGAGACACAAAGCTACTGCTGAATTTTACATCAGTATTTACACATGGTTAGAGTACAGTAGCTGTTTCTTCCATATATGGGATGTGGAGTAAAGCTACTGTAATTGTTAAGGAGAATAACTTTCTAACAAAAACCGCCCTTACGGAACTGTGGACAGTGATAGGCGGCTAGGAAGGCAAGCATCTTCAGCAAATGTGTGGTCATTGGTTGCAAGTTATCTTAACAACCAATGTTTGCGTTGTGTTTTTTAAGATTTTATGATCATTCCTATGACATCATCACTTGAGATTATTTGTTGGTCAGAGGCAGCTCCAGAAAGTCTGAGTAGACAGCTGAGGAATGGCAGTCAGCAGTTAGCAGGAAGGGAGCTCTGAAGTGGGTCTTGAACCTATGTCACTGACGAGCAATGCACTGCTCCTAACTTTGATACGCATGCTCCTTCAGGACAATCTGCAAACACGAGGAAGGGGGAGAAAGGCTGATGGAGACTTAATTCCTCTAACCCAGGGGTCCTCAAACTACGGCCCGCGGGCCACATGCAAATACAAATATTGTATTTGTTCCCGTTTTGTTTTTTTACTTCAAAATAAGATATGTGCGGTGTGCATAGGAATTTGTTCATTTTTTAAAAAACTATAGTCCGGCCCTCCAACGGTCTGAGGGACAGTGAACTGGCCCCCTGTTTAAAAAGTTTGAGGACCCCTGCTCTAACCCCAAGCCGCTATTGGCAGTGACAATAACCTTCATGATTAAGAGTTGGGATTTGAGGCGGGTAGGCCCGAGTCTGAAATCTGGCTCTGCAGCATGGAGGGTCTACAAATTCAAATAGATTATTTAAACTCTTGGGACCCCACTGTCCTTTGAAAGTAGGGTTTCCAATAGTGCCTGCTTCGCAGGGTTGCTTTGAGGACTGAGCTTGCACGCATAAAGAGCCTGTCTAGCACAAAGCCTGGTGCACAGTAAGAATTAAACATTTTTAAATGAAAAGAGGGAGGTGGAGTTGGCAACCTGGGAACCTTGCAAAACTTTGTTTAAACCCAAAGAAGGTAGAGTGTCTCTTCGAAGTTCCTCTGTCATGAGATTCCAGAGAGACAGAGGAGAGTCACTGATAGAACAGGATTCTTCAGGAGCCCAGCGATCTCCACGGGACCCTAAACAGCGTGTCCTCCACGGGACCACAGCAGCTTAAAAACACTTCAGTCAGTACATTCTGCACTCAATTTGGTTCAACGGGCAAGGGGCAGGTGAGAGGCATGGGATATTGCCTGGCCTTAATACTCTTGGCCTAAACTTGGAATTCACTTGAACAAGGCCATTCATATAAAAGAGCTACAGTCATTTTAAAGTAAACTCTTTCTCTAGGAACTTAAACAAGTCCTTTACCTCTGCGGGGACATTGACAAACCCACTATAAAAGGCATTCGTGGCACCGTTATTACTCAATACGACTGAGGAGCTGTCATGGACTCATCAGACTTAGCGCACCCTTAGATCCCGCAATGGACAAAAACATTAAAGTTTCTTGGAGCTGTTTCCTAGTGTACTTTCCTTATCATTGTTTACACTCCTTCCCTCTATACCACCTTCTCCCTAACAACAAATCATCCCCAGACCAGGGAACACACTTTTTAAAAAGGAGTAAAATATTAAATAAAAGAGAGAGAGAGAGAACTCATGGACAACAGTGTGGCAATTGTGGGGGGAAGGGGTGTGGGTGGAGGTGGACAAGGGAATAGGGTGGATAAGTGGTGATGAAAAGCACAAAATAAAAACATATTTAAAAGAGAGCAAAACTCTAAAAGAATATTAATAGTGAGATATAATGTAGGAGAAGAATAATCAAATGGGGAGAAATTCCTTTACTGATGCTAATTATCAATGGATTAGATTGAGCCATGCATGTGTTTTTAAACATTTCTGACAAAAAAACCCCACCATATTCAATCAAATAGCTTAGCAAGTTGCTCAGGCCAAACCCCAGACCTAGGGATTGTATCTCGGGTGCTCAGGTAACTCAATGAGGCCCAGAAGGGCAATGAAAAAATCTGAAGCAAAGTGGAGTCCAAGATTATTCAGATTCCACTCCCTGATTTCCTTCTTACCCCCTCCCCACTTGGCTCTCTTATTCTCCTTTCCCCTCCTGCTAGAATGTAACTAACTAGTAAGCTTCCCCTAGCTATGAAATTTTAGATCATATTTTAAAAGGGCACAATATTTAAATGATGTCATAAATCAACAACAGTAATAACATACAAGTTACATGTAAGTACAGGACGGCGCTGTCAGACCCGAGACTGTTGTCCACCCGCACGGTCACTCGGAAAATGCCCACATTGTGATAAACGTGTTTGATCCCGTCTTCCATGGAGCTGAGGTTGACATATGACACTGCGATGCCATCACCGAAGTCGACTTGGATGAATGTCCTCTGCACGTCGCCCTAAAAAAACAGCCCAACATCAGAAGAAATGGAGTCTGTACGAGGGTGCTTAGCTCGGGGGCTGGGGCTTGTCCTGGTTGCTGGCTCAGGAACAATGGCAACTCTGGCTCCCTCCAGGATCTGGGAGGGTATGTCTGTGGGTGACAGAATCCCTGTGACAATCTGCAATAGCCTAGTGGCTCAACTAGGCTAATGAGACCAACCAACCAAACAAAAACAACAACAACAAAAAACCCACCAAATAAACAAGTGAACAGAGAAGCTCATTTTGTTTAGCAACTGTGGCTTCAGGCATTTACTAAGATGGATGTTTTTTCAAATCTGAAGGGCACTGACTCTACCAAAAATTTCCAGGTTTGAAAACTTAAGTGTCTGATCATCAACTCCAATTTGATAACCAATTCCTCTGAAGGCTTTGCCTATAGCAGTGATGGCGAACCTATGACACGCGTGTCAGAGGTGACACACGAACTCATTTTTTGGTTGATTTTTCTTTGTTAAATGGCATTTAAATATATAAAATAAATATCAAAAATATAAGTCTTTGTTTTACTATGGTTGCAAATATCAAAAAATGTCTGCATGTGACACGGCACCAGAATTAAGTTAGGGTTTTTCAAAATGCTGACACGCCTAGCTCAAAAGGTTCGCCATCACTGTCCTATAGGCTTACCATCCATGTGAATAAAAAAGGTGTGCACAGTTTTAAATAGGCCGCCTACCTGACACCGTCACAGAACACTTCCCATGTGCTTGGATCCCTGAGTCCCTGCTTTATTTCTGGTTCCCTGACCATGCTGGAAAAAGGATAGGAGACACTTTGCCTTACACCTGATATGACATTAGGCTCAGCCTTATTATTATTATTCACATGAGGCTATTTTTTCCATTGATGTTCAGAGAGAGTGGAAGGGGGGAGGGAGAGAGAGAAAGAGAGAAAGAGAGAGAGAGAGAGAGAGAGAGAGAGAGAGAGAGAGAGAAACACACACACACACACACACACACACACCGCGATGTGAGAGAGACACACCAATTGGTTGCCTCCTGAATGAGGTCCCAACAAGGGCCAGGGATAGAGCCTGCAACCAAGACACATGCCCTTGATTGGGAATCCAACCCAAAACCCTTTGGTCCAAGGGCCAACAATTTACCCACTGAGCCAAACCGGATAGTGCAGCTCTATTATTATTTAAGATAATGATGGTTAATTCTTTTATACTTCAGCATTGTTTACTATCAAAATTATCTCATTCTTCACGGAATCTTAGTCTGGAGAGAAAAGCAGGCTTTGTTCATCTAGCTTACAGATGAAGAAACTTCAGTCAAGAAAGGTTTAATCACTTGCTCAAAGTTAACAACCCTAGTTAGCACCAGTCTGGAGATTTGAAACCATCTCTCTGGGTTGCATTTCATTTATTATCTGTGGCTAAAGAACTGACAGCTCCTCAAGGCTTCAATCTTAGCATGGCTTTCACAAGTGAGATGATTTCCTGCCTGTTATTCTACCTCCTTTGGTCTATGAGATGGGCGTAATACCTTCCTATCTTAATTCAATGCACTGTTATAATAGAAATGGGTGTAATTAGTGATCTGTAAAATCATATACTGAAAAAAATGACTATAAAATCAATGCAACTGTAGAAGACCCGCAATGCCCCTTTTAATGCTTATTTACAATCTCAGGGTGCTAAATTTTTCTGCAGGTGGGCAGGAAAACATAAGGTCTATACTTTAATACACTTTTATTTGTTTGTTTTGTTAGTTTTTCCCATTTTCAGGGGGAAGAGAGACCCTTTGAACTAGAAATGTATTTTCGATTAAGTGAGGTTCATATGGTATCATATTTTGAAAAGGCCAAGTTGAAAAGCTGACATTTAAAAGATTAATTCACAGCGAAAGGAAAAGCAGTTCAAATCCTATGAATCTATGGGACCTGCTCTTCTGGTCTATGCCAGGCCAGGCATTGTGAAGGGGCACACCACAGCCCTCAGTAAGGACATGGGCAAGGATTCTTCCCTAGGGTGGGAAAGAAACTCCATTCACAACTGCAGAACAAATATCTACAAGCCTAGACATGGTGCAATGACTTGGATTTCCATCACTAATAAATATAAATGTCAACCATTCTTGCTGACTTGTCCTTCATTTGGACAACCAACGTGGACTGATCAATTTCTCATTCTTTTTTCTGGTCCGTTTCCACTCCCATGTTTTCTGAATTTTCAACAGAGTCGCAGCCTGCCAACCCTAGAAGAACCCACCTTTAAATCTATTCACATTATTTGGGACAGGGAGATAGCAGGGATAGTTAGGGTTACCCATGTAATAAAACAAGCAATATAGTTTCTGAGAGAGAGGGGAGGAAGGGAGGGAGGATGGGAGGGAGTGACGACATGGAAGGGAGGAAGGAGAGAAGGAGAGAGAGATGATTCTTTGTGAGGACAGAGTAGATTTCAGGGCACCAGCATTTGTGAGATCCGGGCCTCCTGATGTGGGCACAGGCCTCTGGGTTTGGTACTCCACACTAGGATGCAAGAGCCTCAAGGGGTCTAGTCTAACAGTTGACGGAAGCAGATTCATCCCTGCTGTTGTCGCTTTGCCCACTCAAGTGGAACAAACTGGACCCCATGCCTTTGCCTTCAGGGGCTCTTAAGGGCTCGGGAAGCCCAATACCAATTTAACTCCAGGACTTTGGGCTCACGTGACATCAGCTTCTGAATTCCTTGGGCTGTAATTATCATCTGAGGCAGGGATGCCAACTCCTTTCAGAGATTAAGAAACAGGGCTAAGGTTTTTTTAATATATATATTTTTTATTGATTTTTTTTACAGAGAAGAAGGGAGAGGGATAGAGAGTTAGAAACATCAATGAGAGAGAAACATTAATCAGCTGCCTCCTGCACACCCCCCACCGGGGATGTGCCTGCAACCAAGGTACATGCCCCTGACGGGAATCAAACCTGGGACCCTTCAGTCCACAGACCGACGCTCAATCCACTGTGCCAAACCAGTTAGGGCAGGGCTAAGGTTTTAGAGATTAAGAAATGGTGTCAAAGTCCTGGGTCACCATTTGATTAGGCAAGCTGGCCTGGCTTTAAATGACTGTCTGCCCATCCATCCACCCATCCATTCACCCACCCATCCGTCCATCCATCGACTCATCCATTTATGCATCCTTCCTTCCTCCCATCCATTCACCCTCTATCCATCTAACCGCGCAACTGAAAGATATTTATTGAGTGTCTATCTTGTGTCTTGCCCTACATGAGAACAATAGATATGACCAAACAAACCAAACAGATATGGTCTGGGGTTTCATGAGCATACAGGCTGCTAGTGAGACAAATGGCCTTTAAATCAATAATCTCAACAGTAAACAAAAAGACATTGTAGGGGGTCATATGAAGGAGAGGGCCTGACGTTATAAACCTATACAATAGCGAGAGGTGGCATACTGAAGATCTGATCTGATTAAGAACGTAGAGAAAGGCTTCTTTCCCAGAAGTGATATTTGAGCTGAGGAAGCTTAAAGCAAAGGAATATATGAATCAAACAAAGGATGTGAGTGAATGTGATGGAGACAAGGTGTCCAGGCAATGAGGACAGAGAAAAAAAAACATGCAAGGGCCCCATGGCAGAAGTGGGTGGCATCGTTGGAGGAGGCTGAAGATACAGACACAATAGGACCATATTATGAAATGTGACTGGAGGGGAGAAAGTAACATTTTAGGACTTGTGGGTCAAGTTTCTGATTTTGATCTTTTTTCCTAAGAGCTGGGAAGCCATTCAAGTGTTTTAAGCAGGGGTTTGGGGGATAATGGCATGATATTTTTTAATTCAAAAATATCACTCTGGCTACAATACAGAGGCTAAATTAGAAAGAGGCGATTTCTGGGAATCCAATTAAGGGAGCTCAGGGCAGATGATGGTGCATTGAAATATGAGTTGCAACAGGAAATTATATGCACCTTCCTGGCAAAATTAACTCCCGTGGTTTATTAGTTTTGAAATCAGGGGATCTCAACCTTTGATATCAGCCGCTCTTACAAAAATTAAAGGAAAAACGCTGATGTCCAGCTACCATCCCAGACCCACCTCCTGGGTCAGGACCTCTGGGGAAGATGCCAGGCCCTGCTGTGGTCTGAGAAGGTCTAAAACTGATGCTGGGATGCACCAAGGGTTGGGGCCCTTCGGTTCAGATTCTTCAACATTAGTTTTTCGTGGGATGGAATTCTGAAGATGAAAATATAGTCCAGGACAAGCTGACACTGTCCTTAGTTTATTTTGGTGGGATGCTAAAGTTTTCCCAGGATGTTTTCGGATGCCCAGTGCTAAGGGTGCATTAATAAAGTCAGGCATCTGCCCTGACTGGTTTGGCTCAGTGGATAGAGCGTCGGCCTGCAGACTCAAGGGTCCCAGGTTCGATTCTGGTCAAGGGCATGTATCTTGGTTGCGGGCACATCCCCAGTGGGGAGAGTGCAGGAGGCAGCTGATTGATTTTTCTCTCTCATCGATGTTTCTAACTCTCTATCCTTCTCCCTTCCTCTCTGTAAAAAATCAATAAAATATATATTTAAAAAAAAAAAGTCAGGCAGGAAGATCTGAACCCATTGTTGGTAACTGGTACATAAGCACAAACCGAAGTTCCAGGATCCATGCTTACTTGTCCAGGACAACAAGCTGCTAGGTGAGATGAGGGCAGTTTGTGTACACTTCTAAGGGCCGAGGTGTGTCCTTCATGACCATATCCTTAGTACCTAATACAAGGCCCACAGAGGGTTTTTTTTCGCTCAAGAAAATTTGAATATGGTGCATCTCTAATGTTTGTTCACCAAAGTGCCTTCTTACGTATTACCTCATTTGGCTGTTAGAAATCCTCGGAGACAGTGAGGACAGGTGCCATTCCTATTTGATATTCCAGAAGAACTGGGTCACAGACAGGCTAAGTAAGATGCCTAAAGCCCCTCAGCTAGAGAGACTTAAAGAAAGGGTTTAGGGTGA